GTCTGGTCTACAGAGCGAGATCCAGATCAGACACCAAAACTACACAGAGAAACCCTGTCTCGAAAAACAAAACAAAACAACAACAACAAAAGTGAAGATCAAATTCAGTTTTGGTGTGTAATGCAGGTTCTGACTTCAAATTCTGGCTTTATTATTCAATTGCTATGTAACTAAAGGTTCACATATATAACTACTCTATGCCTCAGTTCCTACATCTGCAAAATAGGAAGATCAACAGTATTTACTTGAAACCATGTAATAAGCATACTACTACTGGGGCACTTAATATTTAATAGCTATTATTACTGTTCTGATGACAATTTCTATTAGTGGATGGCAACTAAGTATTTAAGTTGAAACTATTTACCCATACCAAAATATCAATCATGAGGCCCATGAGATGGTATTTGCCATCAAGCCTGGGACCCACATGGTAGAAGGAACCAATTCCTGGCAATCCTCTGACCTCCACATGCATGCCATAAAGCTCCTCCCCTACACAAATGAGTAAATGGCACTTATACATCTTTAAAGCCACGCCTACTAGAATACTATGATTTATTTTATAGGATAATGGGATTGAGTCCAGGGCCTTGTACATACTTTGCCATTAAGATACACTCCCCAGATCCCAGAATATTAAAAATATAAGTAAGCCAGGATATTACTCCCTGGGAATCCCTCCCACTCCTGGGAGTTCTTATTTTTCCTTAGACTGTAGATTGATTGGTAAATCTGTAGTCACTCTGCTAAATGCATGCATGTGTTAAACACTCCAAATAGAGTGAATTCAAGGCCAGATTGCACAACTTAGACCCTGTTTAAAAATAAAAAATAAAAAAAGTACTCGGTGTGGTGGTGCACACCTTTGATACCAACACAAGCCAGGCAGATCTGTTCTGTCTAGGCTAGCACGATCTATATAGCAAATCAGAGTTTAGCCAGGACTACCTAGTGAGACTCTCTCAAACAAACAAGAAAGCGGACAAATAAACGCCATCCATCTGTATTACACACAGGTACTGTACGATCACCTGTTTTTTCCATAAACATTTATCCTCATGCAAGTTACGCCTCAGTCCTTTCCATCTCAGTTGATACTGAAATGCCAACAGAGAAATCAAATACAATACAGTGCTGTGTGATGAACAGTGCCACTGGGCTGGGGATCGCACTGGACCCTCTCTTCTTAGATTCAATTTATTTCTTCCAGCTTCAGGCTGTAAATGCTCATTTGCAAGGCAGTTTGGAAGGCTGTCCTTCCTACTGGTAATATTAAATGCTCCTATTGTTAGGTTCACGCTTTGAACATGTAGCTGCCACATCCCCCTTGTGGTCATAAAGAATATTTTTGAGGGACCCGAAGAAACCCTAAGAAAAGTCAGTTACATAAATATGCTCATAAAACTGTGGTTACCTTTCAGGTAAAACCATTTGGGCTAAGGGTATAGCTCAGTTGGTAGAGTTTTTATTTAGCATGCACAAAATCTTGGGCTCAATACTTCAAATAAGTATGGTGAATCTGAGGGCAGTCTGGGATATAACCTAGATAAAATATGTAACATTTAACTCTAGGGCTCTTGCTCAAGCTTTTAAGTGTATGGAACAAGAAAAAAAGCAAATGTTTAGCTTTGTTGTTGCTTCCGGGCTTTTGGAGACAAAGTCTTGCTATATAGTCCTTCTCATTCTGGAACTCACTGTATAGACCTGGCTGGCCTCTAACTATTGGCCCTGCAGGGCAAACTTTATTATTTTTTAAGATTTATTTATGTATATGGGTGCTTTTGTCTGCATGTACATCTGCACACCAGAAGGTAGCATTGGAATTCATGAAACTACAGTTGTTCTTTACCACGAGCCATCTCTCCAGCCCATAACTTTTTATTAAAACAGGATCTTGCTAAGTAACCCAGGCTGGCCTTGAACTCCTGCTTCAGTTTCAAAGACAAATGATACCATACCAACTTTCAGAGAATGCAATGACTTCAATTCTTTTCATTTGGCTTACTTACTGCTTGTCATATTCAGTGTAAGATGTAATGGTTTCAACTTCTGTTTCAGTGTTTGGTATCTGTCATTCCTATGTTGTGTGTGTGTGTGTGTGTGTGTGTGTGTGTGTGTGTGTGTGTGTGTGTGTGTATGTGTGTGTGTTTTGAGACAGGGTTTCTCTGTTGTAGCCCTGACTGTCCTGGAACTCACTCTGTAGACCAGGCTGGCCTCAAAATCAGAAATCTGCCTGCCTCTGCCTCCCAAGTGTTTTGATTAAAAGCATGTGCCACCACCACCACCACCAACACCACCAACACCACCACCACCACCACCACCCTGTTCCTCTTTAAGTTTTTATATCAGGAAATTATTGCAGGACCAGGGGGTAACTTTGATCTACTTGGCAAAATAATTTCTGAGGGAGTTTAAGTGTTAGATCTACTAATAAGGATATAATGACAGTGTAATTTTACAAAGAAGGGTGAGAAGCTCCTTTTGATTTGAGACAGTCTTCTCCTGTTTAGCCTGGTACTAGAAATACAGCCCAGGCTGGCCTTGAATTTACAATGCTGGTCCTGCTTCAGTCTCCTGAGTGCTGGGATGAAGTGTGTGCCACCACCCCTGATTATTGAGTGATGAAGATTGAACCCACAACTTTCGTACATTCTAGGCAAGCACTCTACCAACCAATCCTTTTACTTGAGATAGGGTCTTACTATGTATCAGTGTTAGACTCAGATCCTACTTTAGCCTCCAACTGCTGGGATAGATTACAAGCTTGTATCACTACACCAGGCCTTTAAAGAAACTGCATTATCTATGACTGATTGTTATGTTTGACCTTTTCAATTTTCAGATTTTGAAACAGGGCCACAGTCTCATATAGTCATCAAGCTGGCTTCCAACTCATTATGTAGCCAAAGAAGACCTTTGAACTCCTGATTCTCAGGCTTCTATCTCCTCTCAAGTGCTGGAGGCTTATACCACCATGCCCAGATATTTTCTTACCTTCACTTTCATCCTTTTCATAATGTAAACTGTATTTCCTTTACCTCCTAATTTATCCACACTTTCCTCACAATTTGTCATATTGATGACCGCAAAGAAAAGTATCGGCTCAGGACCCCAAGACCAAGTTCTCAGCACATAGATTTGCCTCAGAGGGACAGGGTAGGGAATAAGAGACAACACAGGAGATAGAGGAGGGGAAGGGGAAGGGAAGGAGGGAAAGGGAGCAGGTATATTTGTCCCGGAGGGACAAAGGACTGCCTCTGGATAAGAGGAAACAGGCGTGGCACATAGGAAAATGGCAGATTATAAAGGGACAAGGGGAAACCCCATGTTAGGATGAGGTGTTTAGTTTTAATTGGACATGTTAATTAGGTGAGCCAAAGGGGGATTTTGTTTGCTGGACTTTAGTACTGTACTAGGTGAACCTTGGTAGCCTTGGGGTGGGGGTGGGAGGATGTTTGGCCAAATAATGGAATAGAACTTGGGGGCTAGATTCAGGAATGTAATCTAACGGGTTTTAACAAGGCAGAGGGACTTGGGGAGAAGGGCAAGGCCTGCCAGAGCCATGCCTACCACAGTCAAGCTGGCCGGAGTCCCTTCAAAGACCACTTTTACTTTTTTTTTTTTTTTTTTTTTTGAGACAGTCTCATGTAGCTTTTGCTGGCCTGGAACTTGTGATGAAGTCAAGGATGACTTTACCTTCCTACTTTCATTTCCCAAATGCTGGAATTACAGGCGTGTGTAAGCACTTCCCACCCAACTGTTTTCTATTGACTTCAAACTGCTTACCTCCAAAACCAAGTTCAACTTCACTGTCTTTAAATCATTGAACTGTTTTTACCGCCACTGAGAAAACTTGACGCGAGATTTGTTTAATTCTTTCCCCTTAAAAGTCTCTATCTGGCTAGATATACCTGATATCTGTAATCAAGGTATCTGGGAGGGTCAGGCAGTATAACTTTGAGGACAACTAAGGATACAAAGTACATGGTTTAGGGTTGGGTGGGGTGACGCAAGCCTTTAATTCCAGCACACAGGAGGTAGAGACTAGATCTCTGCAAGTTCAAGGCCAGCAAGTCTATATAGCGAGTTCGGGGCAGCCAGGGCCACATAGAGAAACCTGTCCTTCCCCCACGCCCTTCCACTGTGGACCCCGTCTGAAAGTCACACGGTGGTAACTGACACCAGGACACTTGGCAACCTGAGCGAGGTTTAAGAAGGCACAGGGACACCTGTGGCCCAGCAAACCCGGGGGGCGAAAGAGCAGCAGCTCACGTAGTTTTCTCCTCATCGTCCCCAAGACAGCCTTAAGTGATCCAAAGCTGCGTGAAGCAGATGCTGCCCTGGAGGCTGGAAACCCGACCCTGCTGCCGCCACGTGCCGCAGAAATTCGTTCAAGGGTGCCCATATCCGCGTGAGCATACGTCACGAGAACAAAGGTGCCCTTAACAAAGCCCCAGGACAAGATGGCGTCCGCGGCAAGAGGAGGCCCGAGGAGAAACTTCCAGGCGCGCGAGCTCGCGCCCCCGGGGACTCTCGGGCCAACTCGCGTGCACCGGAGCATCCAACAAAAGCTACGGTTACGTCCCTAACCCGTTTCCTCCACGCCCCTCACGCATGCGCTCCAGGGCCTCGGCCGGGCGCCAAGGACGCAGGCGCAGGAGGCTCCACCTTCTGCGCAACTGACGCAAGGCGACTGTAATCTTTCCGTAACTTATCCCGTGTGACCTTGAGTCTTTCCTGCCGCGAAGGACCGGGGCTGTCTGAAGCATTGCCTGTGTGTTCCTCTTCTCCGCCTCCCTTCCCTCTGCTCCCACAGCCGCGGAAGCCGTGAGAAGAGGACAGGGCTTTTCAACCATCGTGCGGATGGGCGTGCTCGCGGCGGGCTCCGGTCCCGGGAGCCGCGGTCCGGCAGTCTCCGGTCAGGCGACAACGCTGGGCGCCTCAGCGGAAGAGCGGGCCTCCGTGCTGCAGCGGCCAACCCCCGCCCCCCACCCCACGTGGTTGGAGGCTTCCAGAAGCGTCGCCGCCGCCGTGCCGCGCAGCTCCGGGCCTGTCGGGTGTCTGGTCTCTGCCCTCGTACTCCCGCCGTCCCGCCGCCATGCTAAGCGCCAGCAGAGCCGCGGCCGCGCGTCTCGTGGGCACCGCAGCCTCCCGGAGTCCCGCGGCCGCCCGTCACCAGGTGAGGAACTGCCATGCCTTCCGGAAGGGGCTCGGGGCCCGGACTTGAGTGAGGCAGGCCTTGCCCTTCGGGGTCAGACTCTAGGAGAAATCGGGAGCGACGCAAGGTAACGGCCCTTCGGTGGTCCGTGCTGCCGGCCCTGGTGAGGGCTTTTTCACCCCGGGCTCTGCTGAGTCACAAGGCCTGGCGTTCTGGAGTCTTTACCCCACGAATACACGAGGTAGCGGTCCTCCTGACCCAGCATGTGGCGCAGTGGATGGAGTCGGTCGGAAGGCAGAACTACACGCTGGGGTCTGTTTCCTTAAGAGCCGAAGGACAGTTCCAACTTTCTCTTTTTTATTTTTTTATTTTTGGAGGCAGGGTGTCTTTGGAGCCTGGCTGCCTGGGAACTGACTCCATAGACTTCACAGAGACCCGCCCGCCCGTCTCTGCCTCCCGAGTGCTGAGACTGAAGGTGTGCACCACCACGCCTGGCTCCAACCTTACTTTTTTTTTTTTTTGGATGCCTTCGATTTACTTGTGGATTGTAATAGAACAGGAAAAGGATTTCAGGTCTTGATCTGAAATAAGGAAAAGTACGTCTTTGGAGGATGAGACCTGTAGCTCTCCCAAGTAGTTGTTTGGCAGGGGTAGTGCAGGTGTCTCCAGTACCTTGGAGTGCACACGTAATCAGGGGCACAGGCTGTGAGTTTATTGTGAGACAGGGTCTCACTGGGTAGCCTTGGTTGACCTGGAACTTATCTAGGCCAGGCCTGCCTCTGGCTTTCAAGTGTTGGAATTAAGGTGTTTGCCACCAGGCCCCCGAAACTGTAAAAATAATTTTGAATTTCTTGAATAGCAGCTCCTTAATCAGGTCTTCTCCAGCAGTTGACCCCCCCACCCCAGGGGCGGAGGCGCATCCCTAGCTTCCAGGTTGTCATGACTTTGAGGGCCACTTAATATATATATGGTTCCTTGTTGGTAAAGGCCAGAGTTGCTTGTAAGCATTCCACACTTAGCTTGTCACAGCAAATATTGGTACAAGATCAATAGTGTCAAAGTTGAAAAGTCTCTATTGCAATGTAATTTTTTTTTTTATTTTAGGGTTTTTTGAAACAGGGTTTCAATGTAGCTCTGGCTGTCCTGGGACTCTGGCCTTAAACTTACAGATCTGCCCCTCCTCTGCCTCCTGGGTGCTGGGATTAAAGGCATGCGCCACCACCTCCTCCTGGCTGTGTGGTTTTTTTTGTTTTTGTTTTTGGTAATTTAAGACAATTTTATGTTTGTCTATCTGGAAAACTTGGAGATATGTGGTAGGTATATAGCTATATACCTATATATATATTACATACTAAGGTTTCCTCGTTGTGTGCTTTATACAGGCTACTGCTTAATCCTAAAGCTTGCATGTGTTTGTCAGAGTAATAATTGGAAAAAGCCCAAGTTTACTTGTGTAGTTGATGGCTGATGCAATTTTTTCCCCCTTCAGGATGGCTGGAATGGCCTTAGTCATGAAGCTTTTAGATTTGTTTCAAGAAGGGATTATGCGTAAGTATAACTTTAGTTTCTTTGAGAGAAAACATATTAATTGAACCCCAGGCTGTGATCTGTACATTTTGTTAATAAGTTTCTCTATATAACTTTATTTGTATTTGTAGTTTATGAAATGTACCACTTAAAAATTTTTTATTTTATGTGCATTGATGTTTTGCCAACATGTATAAGGGTGCCAGGTCCCCTGGAACTGGAGTTATAGACAATTGTGGAGCTGCGGTGTGGGTGCTGGGAATTGAACCCAGGTCCTCTGGAAGAGTAGCCAGTGCTCTTAACATCTGAGCCATCTCTCCAGCCCCTGAAATGTGCCATCGTTAACACCACCAACATAAAACAAAGTTCTTCCTCTTATGTTGGAGACTATTGTTAAGATAACTGTGGTATTTTGAATTTCTTACAGATCAGAGGCAATTAAGGGTGCCGTTGTTGGTATTGACTTGGGTACTACCAACTCCTGTGTGGCAGTTATGGAGGGCAAACAAGCAAAGGTGAGTCTGGAAAAACCTGGAAGCCTGGGGTCATTAGGTATCCAGTCTGGCATTATCTGCTTAGGAATGCTGAATTTGAGCCAGGCATGGCAGTACACATGTTTAGGCAGGGGGAATCTCTGAGTTTGGGGCCAGCCTGGGCTATACAGAGAACCCTGATCTGAAAAAGCGTCCCCCCCCCAAAAAAAAAAAGAGGATGCTTAATCGAGTTTTGTGCTGGTTTTTATCTTCAGACACTGTATATCCTAGGCTGGCCTCAAATGTAGATTATTCAGTGCTAACATTAGTTGTTAGCTGCTACTCCAGACATCTAATTTACACTTTAAAGTTGCTCTTATTTATTTATTTTAGGCTTAGGAATTAACCTTTGGATATTGACAATTGAATGACTACAACTTTCCAGAATAGGATGTAAATGTGTTCCTAGAGGTGGAGGTGATAGTGCCATCAGAGGACTTGAAGTGGCTTGCTGTTTGGATTCAAGCGAGGCTTAAGGTGTCTGTGTTAAGTGGAGGTTGTTGGAGACCCCGCAGGACACACAGACCTTTTCCTTTGAGCTGTCAAGACTTAGAGCACCTGGAATTCTACAGTTGTGTCTGCTCATTCTTGGTCCTTCGTGCGTCCTCTTTTCCTATGCCCTCGTCTGAAACAGTTTGGGCTATTTAGAGGAGTCTGACTTGTTTGGTTCTAAAAGAGAAGCCCTTCCTTAGTCCTGATTTATGCTGCTTATTCTCCTTCCCCTGTTTTCTGAAACTTCAGCTTCCATATACATTTAACAAGATTAGGCATATTCAAGGTGGTATGGCCATAGACTTCTGTACATTTGAATTGATATTGTGTAGCAATCCCAGCAGTAAAACATGCCAGTTTAGGCCGGGTGGTGGTGGCGCACGCCTTTAATCCCAGCACTTGGGAGGCAGAGCCAGGCGGATCTCTGTGAGTTCGAGGCCAGCCTGGGCTACCAAGTGAGTTCCAGGAAAGGTGCAAAGCTACACAGAGAAACCCTGTCTCGAAAAACCAAAAAAAAAAAAAAAAAAAAAAAAAGCCAGTTTAGTGTGTTGTCCTTTCAGCATTTGTTTTATGATTTGAGTTGTGATCCTATCTTAAGTCACTGCTGTGAAGATGCCCGTGATGACTAGTCTCTCAATCATTATCTTTGGGAATTTTAGGTCCTGGAGAATGCCGAAGGTGCCAGAACTACCCCTTCTGTTGTTGCCTTTACAGCAGATGGAGAACGACTTGTTGGCATGCCAGCAAAGCGACAGGCTGTCACAAACCCAAACAATACATTTTATGCTACTAAGCGTCTAATCGGACGTCGCTATGATGACCCTGAAGTACAGAAAGACACGTGAGTAATAAGAAAAACAACAGAATGCTTTGATCGAGGTCCTGTGAACACCTTAGTCACCTTTTCATTATTATTCTGGGAAAAATTTGCATCTTCACCAGAAGATTAAACAGTTTTTAAAAGCCCATTTGTGCTTTCACACATTAGGTTAAGATGCATTAAGGTTTGTAAGACATTCCTGAACGATGTTTGTCGTCATCAGTCATGTAAGGCTGGTAATGGCATATTTTATATTGTGCATCCTTAAGTTATTTACATGTGTATATGCACAGTCCTTTGCTTTCTATTATTATTATTATTATTACTACTACTATTTGTGACAGGGTTTCTCTGTGAGCCTTGGCTATCCTGGAACTCAGCCTGTAGACCTGGCTGTCCTTGACCTCAGAGATCCGCCTGCCTCTGCCTCCTGAGTGCTGGGATTAAAGGCGTGCACCACCACTGCTTGGCTAAGCTTTTATTTATTAACATTTTGTTTGTGATGTGTTCATCCTCCCTCACATGAGTGGAGGTGGAGGTCAGAGTACACCTTGCAGGATTCTGTTCTTTTCTTCTACCATGTAGGTCCTGGGCGTTGAAGAGCAGGTCATTAGGCTTGGCAATATGAGCCTTTACTTGCTGAGACATCTCACTGGCCCAGTTTGTTTGTTTGGGTGTTTTTTTGTTTTTTTTTTTTTTGGTCTGTTTGTTTGGTTTTTTATCTTATTTGATTTATTTATTTTTCGTTTTTGGAGACAGGGTTTCTCTATAGTTCTGGCTGTCCTGGAACTAACTCTGTAGCCCAGGCTGGCCATAAACTCACAGAGATTCACCTGCTTCTGCCTTCTGAATGCTGGGATTAAAGGTGTGCCCCACCAATCCTGGCTGTGTACAGATTTTTAATGTGAACATGCTTTCTTTTTGTGTGTCATGCATGTGAGTACTTTGTCATTTTCAAGCAGAACTGCCAAGACAATTTTGGAAACAATAACAAAAATCATCAGGCTCATATTTTTACATGATAGTAATTAAAAAGATTTTTTAATAAAAAGGTCTCTAGAAATTATCATTTGTTGGCCATCTTTTTTTTTTTTTAATAATTTGAAATGGGTAGATATATGATGGCCTTGCTGTTTTAAGTCTCACTGCCAGTCAAGTCTTCTCTTCTCACCCCCTCTGGGGTTTATCTTTGTATCCCTGGTCATCCCTGGAACTCTCACTCTGTAGACCAGGGTGGCCTCAAACTCAGAAATTGCTTGCCTCTGCCTCATGAAAGTCGTGCGACACCACCGCCCAGCCAGTTTTCTTATACAGTTCTTTTTGTCTTTCAGTAAGAATGTTCCCTTTAAAATTGTTCGTGCCTCTAATGGTGATGCCTGGGTTGAGGCTCATGGAAAACTCTATTCCCCAAGTCAGATTGGAGCGTTTGTGTTGATGAAGATGAAAGAGACTGCAGGTGAGTAGATGTAGTTCATTCTGGGAAACTGGAAGTATGGTGTTCCTGTGAGTTTATAGATTCATGTGCTGTAACTTATGGGGTCGGAAGCTCTGCACAGAAAGGTTAGGAAATGGCAGAGCTTTGGGACTTTTAATCTGCACTTAATCTGCAGATTGAGTTTAATTTCCCTAATGGTGCCTGCTGTCCCTTTTTCAGTAGGGGGCAGTGTAGTATTTGCTAAAGTACAGAAAGCTGCTACATGTTAAACTTCAGTCTAAAGGTCATTTGATGTTGATAAATCTTGACTGAAATGCTAAAGGTAATTTGGAATTTCCAGTCTATCCCACCTCTGCTGCTGAGTTACACAAAAATACTTCCTAGATCTCCAAACATGTGGGAATGGGTTGCTGGTGACCGCATCCCAGGCTGCCTTGAGCGTCTGATACTACAGTTGCAGCCTCTGAAATGCTGACAGTGGTTAGGGTGATTTGTTTTTGAGACTAAATTTCATACTGTAGTCTAGGCTGTCTTTGCACTAATTTTGTAGCCAAGGCTGGCCTCAAACTTGTGGTGGTCTTCCTACCTCAGCTTTCCCAGTGCCAACATTATAGGCTTGAGCTGTGTAATCCATGACAGCCTTGAACTCGTCTTCCTCCTGCTGCCTCTGGTGCCAGATTACAGGGGTACAATACAGTGCTCAGTGTTTTCTTCATGGTCTGTCTCCATGTTAGGCTACAAAGGAGGTAAATGGACTCCACAAAAGGATGAGAGATGGAATATTAGGCTTCATTGGTAATTTTGATGCTTATTTTTTTCTGACATAGTGCCACAATTGAATTTTATTTCATTCTTTTTCAGAAAATTACTTGGGTCACACAGCAAAAAATGCTGTGATCACTGTCCCTGCTTATTTCAATGACTCACAGCGACAGGTAAAGTTAATTATACCTCTTTTTTGCCTGGGGGGGAAAAAGGTGCCAAAGTTAGAGAATGGAAAGATACATTTATTTCTACTTTCTCTAGGCCACTAAAGATGCTGGCCAGATATCTGGGCTAAATGTGCTTCGAGTGATTAATGAACCTACAGCTGCTGCTCTGGCCTATGGTCTGGACAAGTCTGAAGATAAAGTGTAAGTTAATAAAATAAATATTCTTACCTGAATTACGGGTTTTTATGTAATTTTACTACATTTTTTTTTTTTTTTTTTTTTCCCCGAGACAGGGTTTTTCTGTGTAGCTTTGCGCCTTTCCTGGAATTCGCTTTGGAGACCAGGCTGGCTTCGAACTCACAGAGATCCACCTGCCTCTGCCTCCCGAGTGCTGGGATTAAAGGCGTGCGCCACCACCGCCCGGCTTTACTACATTTTTAAAGTTTGTGTGGGTTCAATGTGCCATGCCATGCATGTGGATGCCAGAAGATAAAATGTGTGAGCTGGCTTTTGCCTTTTTCCAAAATGAGTCTTGGGTCAGACTTGGCAGCAAGTGCCCTCACCCTTTCTAAAGATTCCTTTTTTGTTTTGTTTTGTTGTGGTTTTTTTTTTTTTTTCAGAGACAAGCTTTCTCTGTAGTTTTGGTGCCTGTCCTGGATCTTGCTCTGTAGACTAGGCTGGCCTTGAACTCACAGAGATCCGCCTGCCTCTGCCTCCCGAGTGCTGGGTTAAAGGCGTGCGCCACTACTACCAGGCTAAAAAACTTCTCTTATTTTCAATTGCAAATGTGTTTCTGTGGGTCTATACATGTTATTGCACACACCTTCAGAGATGTCAGATTCTTGGAGCTTAAATTACAGGAATTAAATTACCTGATGTTGGTACTGGTAATCAAACTGGTCCTCTGGAAGAGCAATTTGTGTTTTTAACTGCTGAGCTCACTCCAACCCATCTCCTCGTGTGCGGTGGGGCATGTTCCTAACACAGTGTGCATATGGAGGTCAGAGGACAACTGGGAGGGAGGAATTCTCTCCTTCATGTAGGTTCCTGGGATTGAATCAGGCTTGGAGCCAAGCATCTTTACCTGCTAAAAAGACATCTTGCCAGCCTTTGTGCTATAAAGTTTTGTTGTTGTTGTTGTTTTTCAAGATAGGGTTTTGCTGGTATCCCTGCCTGTCCTGGAACTCTGTACACCAGGCTGGAACTCTGTACACCAGGCTAGCCCTGAACTCAGATCCTCCTGCCTCTGCCTCCTGAGTGCTGGGATCAAGGCTGTGTGATACCACCACTAAGCTTGTGCTGTGTGTTAACCTGAACTGTGAACCAAGTTATAAAAGCTATAAGATTTATCCTATATTATTTCCATTTCATAGAAATGCATTAAAAATGTACTTCTTTATTCTCTCCAAATTTGTGTGTATGGTCTGTGTTTTTCATTCTTTCAAGACCATTTTACTGTTGGGACCCTTGACAATTTTAATTTTGTTGTTATGGGTGTTGATAAATACTTCGGAATCATGGTTTGTATGCTGTTAATTTTAGTCGTTTCTTTGTTACCAATGCATATGTTAATAGACATGTCATTTAGGGTTGCTAGATTTCAAAATTATTAAATATTTCTAAATTAATCTTTGGTTATTTAATTCATTCCTTTGTAATAGGTTTTGTTTCTTAAGGCTTTAAAAATTTACTTGTTTGGCTTTTCTTTCCTTTCTAGCATTGCTGTGTATGATTTAGGTGGTGGGACCTTTGACATTTCTATCCTGGAAATTCAGAAAGGAGTATTTGAGGTGAAATCCACCAATGGGGACACTTTCTTAGGAGGTGAAGACTTTGACCAAGCGTTGTTACGTCACATTGTCAAGGAGTTCAAGAGAGAGGTTAGTTACCATTGTGGTTAATGTGTAGGCTTTTGTGGGGGAGGTTCAGAATTTTTTGTTCAGATTGTTCTTTTGCTTTCTGAATAGTTTTTTTGCACTAAGGTAACTAATTACATTCATGTTCATGGGTAAACTGAACCATTTTAGTTACATATAGCGCCCTAGATTGGGAACAAAAGAAGTATATTGGTTACAGTATTGGAGAAGAATTTTAGGAACTCTGAATTAAGAGACCTTGAGCTTGGAAGAGTTGATGGGAGTTCAGTCTACTGGTGATAGATCAGAAAACTTATTCATAATAGGTTATTTTTCAGGTGGTAATTTGTGAGTGTGGGTGTTCGGTTTTTCAAGATAGGGTTTCTCTGTGTAGTCTAGGCTGTCCTGGAACTCTACACCAGGCTGAACTAGAATTCACAGACATCCACCTGCCTCTGCCTTGAAAGTGCTAGGATTAAAGGAGTGTACTACCTCCCCCCAATTCTATCCCCTAGCCCATAAAGCCTCACGATTTGTGTTCCTTTTTATTATAAAGGGATGGTCCCTTCATAAGCAAACAGAGTATCTTCTGTATCATTGCCATTTCTCTATTAATTGTCTCATGAATCCTATTTTGTAGACAGGGGTTGATTTGACCAAAGACAACATGGCACTTCAGAGGGTTCGGGAAGCTGCTGAGAAGGCTAAGTGTGAACTCTCCTCATCTGTGCAGGTGAGACATGGACAAATCCGAACAGTTTTGGTGGATATTTTTAGCCTAAGCTTATTTGAATAGTATATTCTAATTTACCTAATGTCAGTGTAGCCTCTGTACAGTTTTCTGTTTGCTAAAAATCTTGAGCCAGAGAACAATGTGATGATCATTTCTTTTTAATGAACGAGGTAGATTTTTATGCATGTGGATCTTTTCCTGCATGTATATCTGTAGTATGTGTGTGCTTGGTTCCTGCAGAGGCTATAACAGGGTGTTAGATCTCTGGAACTGCCATGTTGATTTTGGGGATTGAACCTAGGTTCTCTGGAAGAGCAGCCAGTGCTCTTAACCAAAGTCATCTCTCTAGCCCTGAGAAAAGCATTTTTTTAATTTAATGTGCATTGGTGTTTTGGCCTGCATTCATGTCTGTATGCGGGTGTCAGATCCCCTGGGACTAGAGTTACAGACAGTTGTGAGCTGCCATGTGGGTACTGGGAATTGAACCTGGGTCCTCTGGAAGAACAGCAAGTGCTCAACCGCTGAGCTATCTCTCCAGCCCCTGAGCTAAACATTTTTAATAAGAGCTTATAGTTCTGATTTGAACAAAATTGGATATTTTAAGTTAGAACTGGGGATTTTCTTTTTATTTTTTTTATTTTTTGGACTTTACTGTATAGCCCTGTCCCCTCAGACTCAGAGTTCTGCCTGTCTCTACCTCCTTAGTGCTGGGATTAAAGGCATGCATCACCACATCCAATAAGATGAGGATTTATAGAACAGGAGATGATAGCTCGGTGGTAGAGGACTTAGCTAACATGTATAAAGTCTTTGGAGTTACATCCTCACGATGAAAAAAGGAAAGCCTGGTATAGTTGAGGCTAGAGTATTACCAGAGCAAGCCTGGGGTCCATAGTGGGTTCTAGCCAGCTTGTGCTATGTGGTATGACTTTGTCTCAAAAAAAGGAAAAAATGGGGCTAGTGATTGAACCCAGGGTCTCAGCATTTGCTAGGCCCATGCTCTATATCCCCCCACCCTCAAAGCATTGATTAAAAATCCATGGTGATGTCCCTAATCCCAGGAATTAGGCAAGGAAGGTCCTGGATTTGAATTTGCCTGAGTGATAATAGATCTCATCATCCCTCCAAAAAAGGCAAGGCATTAATAAAAACAGTGTGGTGAATTAGAATTATTAACTTGAAAAATTAATGTTTTAACATGAACGTACTACATTGTGAATTATATGAATTGCTGGTTCTCTGTCATTTGATAAATTGGATCACCATTTTAGAAAGTGAGCTGTAAAAAAAATCTGCCTCTCGTGTGAAGGCAAGTTTCCCTTTGAAGGACAGGTTTGCTCCACCTCTGAGTTCCGTGCTTGTTGACCTCAGTTCTGAGAGGTGAAGCTTCCCTATCTTAACCACCAAGTAGACTAGTGTAAAAATCTAGGTTGCAGGCTCACCAGGGTAGAACTTGAATGGTCTAGTCCTGTGACTGCTTTAGGTTGTTAGATTACCAGAAGGAGGTTATGGTAGCTGTTGGGTAAGTGGTTGTTGCTGACTAACTTGTTGAACCTGAATGCTGTATACATTTTTTGAGTTTGCCCTAGCTCCCAAACCGTCACTGTTGTAAGTGGCTGTGAGTAGTTCCAAAGTTGCACATAATCGTCATGGATATTGATATCATTTTCCCTGCTGAGTGACAACTTGTATGACTTAATAAATAGCTTTTAGGGTTGTGGTTTAGAGGATGTGAAATTGCCAGTAAAGAGAAATATATAAATCTTAGAATTTGATACTGGGAGAAGATGTTGGTTACTTTTATGCAGCTGTATCTTACTGAGGGATATTTTGTAGACTTTAGCACTTTAGCAAAGTATATTTAGCAAAGTCAGTGTACACCTGTGACTGTAAATCTGTAAAGTTTAGGAGCATCTCAGCAGACTTAATAGTTTACTTTGGAAGATGAATATTAACATCAGCCAGGCTGTGGTGACACATGCCTTTAGTCCTAGTGCTTGGAAGGCAGAGGCAGGCAGATGGCTGAGTTCAAAGCCAAGTTTGGTCTACAGAAGGTATTATTATTATTATTATTATTATTATTATTATTATTATTATTATTATTAATTTTATGTGTATGGGTGTTTTACCTGCTTTCATGTATGTCTGTGCTACATGGCATGCCTGGTGCCTGCAGAGGTCAGAAGAGGGAGTCAGAGCTACGACTAGAGTTATAGGTGGTTGTGAACTGTCATGTGGGTGCTGGGAATTAAACTCTGTGGTCTTCTGCAAATGTAGCCAGTGTTTGTTTTGTTTTCTTTGTGTCGCCCTGGCTGGCCTAGAACTTGCTCTGTAGACCAGGCCAGACTCGAATTCTCATCAGAGATCCACCTGCTTCTGCCTTCCAAGTGCTGGGATCAAAGGCGTGCACAGTTACCACCTGGTGATACAGAACATTTTTATTTATGCACATGGAATTTTTTTTCTTTTTTTTTTTTTTTTTTTTTTTTGGTTTTTTTTCGAGACAGGGTTTCTCTGTGTAGCTTTGCGCCTTTCCTGGAACTCGCAACTCGCTTTGGAGACCAGGCTGGCCTCGAACTCACAGAGATCCGCCTGGCTCTGCCTCCCGAGTGCTGGGATTAAAGGCGTGCGCCACCACCGCCCGGCTTCTTTTCTTTTTTTTAATGTATAGGGAGAGGTGGTTGCAAGTACCAATGGAAGCTAGAACAGAGTATCAGATTCCCCAAAACTGGAAGTATGAGCAGTTAGCTACCCCGCATAGGTGCTAGGAATTCAACTCAAGTCCTCTGCCAAAACAGCAAGCACTCTTAACTACTATGTGCAGACATGGGATAATTTTTAAAACTCAGTGTGAAAGACAATCCCCCACACAGTATGGACCTCTTTTATCTTTTTCTTTCTTGCTTGCTTTTTTTTTGTTCTCTCTCTCTCTCTCTCTCTCTCTCTCTCTCTCTCTCTCTCTCTCTCTCTTTCTCTCTGTGTGTGTGTGTGTTTGTGTTTGGCTTCTCTGTGTAACGGCTCTGGCTGTCCTGGAACTCACTCTGTTGACCAGGCTTGCCTCGAACTCACAGAGATCCCGCCTGCCTCTGCCTCCTGGGTGCTGCGATTAAAGGTGTGTGTCACCACCTCCCAGCCACAGTGTGTTTCTTAAAGATCTTTTTTGCCACGACACATCTGTCAAATGATAATTTCTTAAGCTTGTCTGCCCCAGTTTTCATTATTAATATGTAGAGACCCCCCCCCCCAATTAAAGTACATTTCAGTATATTTCCCCTGCATCTTAGGAATTCAATGAGGCTGACTCTGTGCTCTCTACATCTTATCCTAGGGTATGGTCTTGACCTTAATTGGAGTATTAAAGATTAGTCTCCCTACTGACTTGTAGTTCAATATTTTCTGTGTAGACTGACATCAACTTGCCGTATCTTACAATGGATGCTTCTGGACCCAAGCATTTGAATATGAAGCTGACTCGAGCTCAGTTTGAAGGCATTGTCACAGATCTAATCAAGAGGACTATTGCTCCATGCCAGAAAGCTATGCAGGATGCAGAAGTCAGCAAGAGTGACATAGGAGAAGTGATTCTGGTTGGTGGCATGACGAGGATGCCCAAGGTATGTTACTCATGGTATTCCTTATGGGGAAAAAAAGAAAAAATCAGTACATAATGCATTCTTGGCAGATAGTTTATGTTGTGTATGGACATGAATATGATCCATTCTACCTGGTTACTTGAAAGGGGATGAGACTAACCTCATCAGAAAGTGCTTTTAGTTGGGTTTAGTGGCTCACTCCTGTATGTAATCTCAGCACCTAACCTAAGAGGTAGGAGGATGGTGTTGTTCCAGGCAAGACTCAGCTAGAGTGACACTCTGTCCCACCAAGAAACCTTTTTCGTTTTGTGGGGGTTTTGGGGTTTTTTGTTGTTGTTGTTTGTTTGTTTTGAGACAGGGTTTCTCTGTGTAGCTTTGGAGCCATTCCTGAACTACTCACTCTGTAGCCCAGGCTGGCCTCGAACTCAAAGAGATCACCTGCCTCTGCCTCCTGAGTGCTGGGATTAAAGGTGTGCACCACTACTGCCCGGCTAGTTTATTTTAATTAAAAGATGCAAGAATAGCAGGGAGAATCTTAAACCCAGTCTTGCTTATAAAGCTAATGTTGTCAAGCCTTGATGATGGTCATTCTTTAGATGTTTTGGACGCATCTTCCTAGCATAGTACTTGGGGCCACTTGCATTTCTTCAACAATGGTTTGTGTGATGATGCATTGTGAACACATCATTCTGAAAACATGTAGAGAAGTAGTGACTGAGCACAGACCGTTGAAGGGGCAGTTGCTCCTTGGTAGCTGGATAGAATTATCTTGGGCCCAAGTTAATGATGTGGTTACTGCTTTTGGTGGTGGTTGGTGGGTGGTTTTGTTTCTCTGTTGAAATGCTGGGATATTGGAATATGGGTACAGAATAAATTTAGACCTAGGACTCTGGTCTGGAGGATACATTGATATTAACAAATTATCCCAAGATGTTGTGTACTTGTGTTAGCTCTAAAACATAGATCAAAAACTATCCCTCAGATCAGCCACAGAATCGATATTACTACTTCCTTCAAATTAGTCTTCAATTAATTATCTGGAATATGTAGACTATTTTATTTTTTTTTGTTTTTTGAGATAGGGTTTCTCTGTGAAACAGTCCTGGCTGTCCTGGAACTCATTTTTTAGACCAGGCTGGCCTCAAATTCACAGAGATCTGCCTTAGACTGTATTTTATAATCCCTTGCCTTGTGCCTTCTGTTTCAAATGATTAATGTCCTCTGGGAAGCCAGATAATTGACGCAAACGCTTCTCTAAGTGGACAGTGAGTGAGATGCTCCGAAGTTGTCAAACATGAACAAGAAGTCCACATTCTTGGATCTGAGTCCATCTGATTGTGATCTGGCTGGCATCTTAGTGCTCTGTCTCACTCCAGCAGTTGCCTCAGGTGTTGGCTAACAAGTTCTTTCTCCTCGGTGTATAGGTTCAGCAGACTGTGCAAGATCTTTTTGGCAGAGCCCCAAGTAAAGCTGTTAATCCTGATGAGGCTGTAGCTATCGGAGCTGCCATTCAGGGAGGTGTGTTGGCTGGTGATGTCACAGATGTGCTACTCCTAGATGTCACTCCCCTCTCTCTGGGTATTGAGACTCTAGGAGGTGTCTTTACCAAACTTATTAATAGGAACACCACCATTCCAACCAAAAAGAGCCAGGTAAGAGCCATCCTTCCTCGTAACAGAAGTTTAAAGTTCTATGAGTGATATGCTTGCAGCCACTTTATGAACTTTTTAAAACTTTGTTTCTAAATCCACACTTGGCTGTGGGTGGCTTGAGAACCCCGTGTTTTGGGGTTTTGTTTTGCTACTGAATTCTCTGTATTTTTCTTCTATTATCAGAAGCAAATTATAAAAAGCCAGGTGGCTAGAGACATGGGACTAGGTAGGCTTGATTTCAGGGTAAGTGATAGGACCTGGATTGTCTATTATTACCAAGTGGGAATATATGGACATGGCATGGTCTTAGATGAAAAATTACTTCTTGTGGATTGGGTCATCCCAACACTGGGGAAGTTGAGGTATGAAAATTGAGTTTGAGAACTGCTTGGACCATGTAGTGTGACCACGTCTCGAAAACTATCAGTGGTATTTGTGCAATGATGTATTTATTTGTCAACACATCATTCTGAAAAAGGCATGTGATGACTTCTTATGACTGAGCACATGATACCTGTCTCTGATCCTGTTTCCCTGGACTAGCAAACCAGTATTTTAAACCCTTGTTTTGATGCCTTAAACTTTAAAGTGTCATCATGTACAACATACTTGTTTAGCTGAAACAAGTGTGCTCTTTTATACTAATCCTATTCCTGCCTTTGTAGAGGTATATACGGCTTTCTTCTGAGAGTAATATATATTAGGAATCATCCAGTATTAGAATGTGAATTTCTCTGGTTACCCATTTCTGTATAATTAGATTAGATTACCAACTAAGGAGGTTTTCTCCCTCCCTAGGTATTTTCTACCGCTGCTGATGGACAAACTCAGGTAGAGATTAAAGTCTGTCAGGGAGAGCGAGAGATGGCTGGAGACAACAAACTTCTAGGACAATTTACTTTGGTAGGTATTTTGAATCTGAATACCATACTTTTTGGTCCTATAGCTTGCAAAGCTGACAGTATTCTAACCTCTCCAAACTGCTGACATACAGGAATACTGGGGTTTTTTGTTTTTGTTTTTTTAAAAAAACTATTTACTAAGTTTTTATCTTATCATATGTGTGTTTTTTGTTTGCGTGTATGTCTGTGCACCAAGTACAGACAGTACCTTCTAAGGCTAGAAGAGGTTGTCAGATCCCCTGGAATTGGACTTACAGACAGTTGGCTGCCATGTGGATGCTGGGAATTCAACTTGGGTCCTCTGGAAGAGCAGCCAGTGCTCTTAACCACTGAGCCATCTCCCCAGCCCATATTGTTGTTATTTTCAAAAGACAGTTTTCATAGAATTATGAAACCCCCACATTCAGTTTTTACCTGAAAGTGCTTTATGCTTTCAATATTTTAAATTTATAAAAGCCATGGAAATGTTCAGATTCATAAGCAATGCTAACTCAGAAATTAGTTGTGGCATGAGTACTCGTTTCAAAAACACTTGATAGCTAATTGTTTTAGGTTAGCACTGCTACAGTGGAGAAGTTTCCTCATTTACTGTCAACTCTAGGCACATACAGCTATTACAGTTAGTTACTCCTTGAAGCCCAGTTGATTTTAGAAAGCGCTAAAACTACATCACCTAAAATCTCAAGTTGTTTGTACATTAAGTGAAGATAGCACTTGTTTTAGGAAGCAAGTGGTTGGTTGTCCTGTTTGGAAATGGGAGCACACAAGCCTCTGAAAGGAGCTCACTCTGGATATTTATTTTAGATTGGAATTCCCCCAGCCCCTCGTGGAGTCCCTCAAATTGAAGTTACATTTGACATTGATGCCAATGGGATTGTACATGTTTCTGCCAAAGATAAAGGAACAGGACGTGAGCAACAGAGTAAGTATTTACCAGCTATATGAATGAGGTATGAGGCTGAGGACTTAGTCTAGGTGTGGAGTCCCTTCTAGTATATGTGATGCCCTGGGTTTAGTTACCATCAAGGAAAACGAAGGTGGCCATTATTGGGAAGTACATACTCTCTGTTTGTATGCCTCTTCTACCCTATTTAGGGAGGTTGCTACCACACTGCCCCTGTTTCCAGGTGTTAGAGCTAGCTGCCTTTGTTTATGTGTATGGGTGTTTTGCTTGCATGTATTTCTTGTACCTCATGCATGTCTGATGCCCTGAGACTGGAATTATGGACAGTTATGATCTGCCATGTGGGTGCTAGGAATCTTGAATCCCAGTCTTCTGCAAGAATAAGTGCTTTTAAGCACTGAGCCATCCCCCTCCAGCCCCTCCTTACTTTTTTTTTTCTTTCTTTTTTTTGGTAAGGATAGCTGCCACTTTTAAACCTTATACTTGGAGAAGTGAATTTCTGGGGTTTTTGTTTGTTTTTGAGACAGGGTCTCACTTTGTATCCCTGGTTGGCCTAGAACTTGCTGCATGACAAGGCTGGCCTCAAACAATGAGATCTGCATGTCCCTTCCAATGCTGGGATAGATCTCTGAATTATATTTTTATAAGTTAACATTAGGAGAGGGCAAACAGGCAAGCCTGACCTTGTGGATTGCTGACCGCTTAATCTTTTTATACGATTTACTTACAAGACAATGATTAACCTTCATAATTTGAATGATTCAGATTAGTTACTTAAATGGTGGGGTTTTTTGGGGGGAGGTTGCAGGGGGAATAACTGGGTCTGGGTCTTATTTTGTAGCCATGGCTGGCCTTAAACTCAGATGCCGGCTTCCTGAGTGTTGGGATTAAAGGTGTGCACCATGCCCAGTGTACTGTTACTTCTCAGTGCAGTAAAGAGAGTTTTCTTTTCATTATCTCCAGTTGTAATCCAGTCTTCTGGTGGACTAAGCAAAGATGATATTGAAAATATGGTTAAAAACGCAGAGAAATATGCTGAGGAAGACCGGAGAAAGAAGGTGATTGTCTCTGCTGAACTTGGTAAAGCTGACAGTAGACCATGGGCAGGTCGCTGATCTTGAGTTTTTCATCTCCTGTTGTTACTTTAATTTATAATTTGTTTAATATGAGATACATACACCATGTAGTCAGGATGACTCCACAACCTTATCGTTTCTCAGCCTCCCTAGGACCTGGGATTAAGGGCACATACTGGGTTTGGATTGTTCTCTTACACTGTCAAAATTCCCGTCACCAAGGCCAAGTCAATGGGGTTAGGGATTTAGCTCAGTGGTAGAGCGCTTGCAAGGCCCTGGGTTTGGTCCTCAGCTCCAAAAAAAACCCAAGTCTACTCTTTCTCGGGTTATCACGAGTGCTTCTGAGAACAGTCATTGTTGTTTTACTGTTCTCTGTGTGGCAAGTAACTTACTGTCTCACTTGCTATAGAAGTTAAGGAAACTTGGTGATTGGAAAGTCAGTTACATTAAACTCATGATTTTTCTAAGGAACGTGTTGAAGCAGTTAATATGGCTGAAGGAATTATTCATGACACAGAAACCAAGATGGAAGAATTCAAGGACCAATTACCTGCTGATGAGGTAAGTTATTTGAAATAATTGAAGAGAATATTCACCAATTCATTGAAGCTGGTTTGATAGTGATTCAGTTTTTTAAAAATATGAATAAAGGGTAGAGGTGGGAGGGCAAAAGTTAAAAAGTTTGAATAGTGAACTACATGTAATGAGACAGAATAGAAAAAGGATTTTTATTTTATTGTTTTGCCTTTTCCAGTGCAACAAGCTAAAGGAAGAGATTTCCAAAATGAGAGAACTCCTTGCTCGAAAGGACAGTGAAACAGGAGAAAACATTAGACAGGCAGCATCTTCACTTCAGCAGGCATCGTTGAAACTCTTTGAGATGGCATATAAAAAGGTACCAGGGATGGAGGGCTATTTTGGTTCACGTTACAGGGAAAGGCAAAGGAATCCCATGGTGTGCAAGGCAGGGGAGATAATGATAAGTACAAGATGAGGTGTGTTGAACAGAGCAGACTGTTAGGCCTGATGTGGTTCTCAAATACCTTCTCAACAGATGGCATCTGAGCGGGAAGGTTCTGGAAGTTCCGGTACCGGGGAACAGAAGGAAGATCAGAAGGAAGAGAAACAGTAATAGTGGCAGCGCATTGTGGAGCCAGAAGTACAACATACCATGAAGCTTGGGAGTAAAGGGACTTCCCGAGCAGAAAAGGGGCAAACTTCAGTCTTTTTACTGTGTTTTTGCAGTATTCTATATATAATTTCCTTAATATATAAGTTTAGTGACAATTAGCTAACTCATTTAATGGGTGATTAACTCAGCAGTAGCAGGTTCATACTGTTCTGTCACTAGCCTGTTATTTTCAGCCGCATGTGAAGGGGTGGGATGGGGCTGTGTACCAATCATTAAGGTATATCTGGTTTGTGCTGAAGTGGCCATGTTTTCAAGGTGTAAAACCCATTTCACATCCAGTGGAGGTAGTCTGTCATGGACCTTGATTGAGACTATATGTAGATCCTTGTTGGCCAAGAGTACTGCTATAAAAATGGCCTATGTGTACATGGGTGGTCACAACTGAGGCCTTTTAAGACTAAGCAACCTGTGCCATGGTTTGTAGGTGCAGAAGCTAGGTCAATGGATAACAGCTGTGTTAGCCATAACTTAGATACAGGAGAGTGAAGTCTCTCGTGGTCCTAAAGCATACGTTTCTAGCTATCCTCTTGGCTGGCCTATGTCTGGCACCTATATCCTTGATGATTGTTCTTTTCATCCATTCTGGATTTTTTTTTTTTAAAAAAAAAATAAAATTCCAACAGCATCTTGATTTCCTTTGTAAATGTCAGTAGCTTCAGGACCATAACTACACTATCAGTTTGCAGGGAGAAATGAAAATGACTTTCTTTTTTTTTTTTGGTTTTTCGAGACAGGGTCTCTCTGTGTAGCTTTGCGCCTTTCCTGGAACTCACTTGGTAGTCCAGGCTGGCCTCGAACTCACAGAGATCCACCTGGCTCTGCCTCCCGAGTGCTGGGATTAAAGGCATGCGCCACCAGCGCCCGGCGAAAATGACTTTCTAACATTGGCTAAAAGTGTGGACACACTGAAGATGTGGAGGGTCTAATACAATATATTGGCATGTATGCTGATGCAGAAGCACACCCAGGGCTACAAAGTGAGACCCTGTCTCAAAGGACTAGCACAAACAAATCTAGTCGTAGTCATCTATCTAGGAAAAATACTGAGCAAGTGCTGTTTGCAGCTTTAACAAAATTGCAGTTGGTTTAAAGGCAACAGTATCATTAGTATTACATCCTCATGTGTGGTTTCTGAGACTTGGAACAGGTGCCCAAAGTTCTTCCTTTCTGCTTTCTCATCCTTGATGTGTTCTCACAGCTCTGTCCTTCTGAAAGATCACTTTGTGTACTTTTTTTGTGTGTGTCTGCAGTTATGTACACAAGTGCTGACCCCATGGAGCTTATAGGCTGCTGAGCCCTAACAGTCGTGCTACAAAGAGCTGTATGTGCTGTTGATCTTTTTCTATATAAACCCCTTTATTTTTTGAGACAGGGTCTATGTAGAGTCCTGAGATTAAAGGCCTGTACCACCAAACCCATCTGCTTTCAAAAACATTTTGAGACAGGGATGAGGATATTAGGGTTTCCAAGACAGAAAAGTACATACAGCTAAGTATGCTATAAGGAATTAACAGAAATCCCACACACAACTCACTGTCATTAAGATGTAGACAAAAAAAAAAAAAAAAAAGGAAAAGGCCGGGCAATGGTGGTGCACACTTTTAATCCCAGCACTCAGGAGGCAGAGGCAGGTGGATCTCTGAGTTTGAGGCCAGCCTGATCTACAGAGCAAGATCCAAGACAGGCACCAAAACTATACAGAGAAATCCTGTCTGGAAAACAAACAAACAAAAAAAAAAGATGTAGACAAAACAGCCAGTGGTGTTTCAGTCCAAGATTGAAAGGTAAATGCCCCAGCTGAAGCAAGGAATTCCAATTTCCATGTTCTGTTGGAGCCCCTTAGGTTGCTGAATGATTCATACCCATGTTGGAATGCAAACTATTTTATTGTAAGGTTCCCCTTTCTAACATGCTTGGTTAGACCCTCTTCCTCTAATCTTTCTAGGCTTGGTTTTATAGCAAGGTAATGCTAAAACTTCAGGTTGTTCAACTCAAACTTTTAGTAAATGTTAGCAAAGTACATACAGATTCATGTACGTTCTAAGCTACCACTTGGATTGTCCTAAGTCTTAAATTAAAAAAAAATTAGTTTTACATTTGTGTCTGTGGGTGTGTACATGCCATAGCACACCTTATGGGAGTTGATTCAACCATGTGGATTTCCAGGGATGGAACTCAGATCATCAGTGTTGGTAGCAAAAACCTTTACCTACTGAATCATCTTGTTGGATTAGTCCAGATTCAATCTTATATCAATTGCTATACTATCTCAGCCTTTTTCCACAGCAGTCAGATGTTACACGAATGCCCCCTGTTCAAAGCTGTTAGAAATGTCTACAGGCTTTACGTAATCTAGCTGCTTTTTTTTTTTTTAAATTCATTTTAGGTTTGTCTTCTGCCCAAATATATGTTTGCACCAGGTAAGTGGCTCTGGTGCTCAGGTCAGGAGTTATCAGATTCCCTGAAACTGGAGTTGTGAAGGTTATGAGCCACCATGTGGATGCTTAAACTGTGACTTTTGTCTTATTTATTTAAGATTGCCATTTTGTTCACTGGCTACTTTTCCAGAGGACCTAGGTTTTGATTGCCAGTGCCCACACTGACACAACCATCCATAACCACAATTCCAGGAGATCAGGCACCCTCTGGCTACCTCAGACACCAGGAATGCATGAGGCTCTTTTAATACATACAGGCAAAAACACATGCACCCAGATTGTAGAGATTAACCCATCTGTGGTAGTGGGTGCAACTATCAAACCCAGAAAGTAAGTTTTGACAGTCTTGGCTTTAGCTCACGCTGGCATCACACTTGGAAAAACAATCTTGCTTAGCCTCCTGGTTGCTAAGGTTATAAGCATGTAATCATCACACCTGCCTGAATTTATTTTGTTGTCTTTAGAGATTGAACCCAGGGCTTCAAACCACTAGAAGTAAATCTCCCAGCACATAAAGGTATTGTGTGTATGTTGCTAAGGATCAAACTCCACTTTGCCTTGGGCACGTTTTATTGACAGCCCAACTAAGACAACAGTTTTTTTGTTGGTATGTGTTTTGTTTGAGGGACAGCTGTGCAGTGAAGGATGGCCTTGAATTTTTGATCTCCCAGCCTCAGCCTCCCAAGGGTTCACCACCTAGTTTATGGGGTGCTAGAGATTGAGCCCAGCCTCGCATACACTTAAAAACAAGCAATTTACCAACACAGAGAGCTACATCCTCAGCCTTTGTGTTTCTTTAGAAGACAGGTAAGAGGGCCATTATTAAAATTCCGGACTACCTGAACTCAAAGGTTTAAGTGGTCTTCCTGCTTCAGCACCCCAAATACATCTCAAGTGCACACAACACATGTTCAGAAAGACCAAAGGGGTTTTTTGTTTATTTTGGTTGCTGTTGTTTGTTTTGTAACCCCTACAACAGGGTTTTCTCTAGCTCTGGCTATCCTGGAACGTACTCTGTAGAGTAGGCTGGTCTCAAATTCAGAGACGCACCTACCTCTGCCAAAGAGCCCTGGTATTAAAGGCATGAGCCGTCACCACCTGGTTTAAGAGAATCGTTCTTAACTAGAAAAGGAATATAAAGAGAAATTAAAACCAAAAGCATGGGTGATGTTTCCTTGGCAACATAATTTGAATGGCCAGGATAAGTAGCAATCCTGTTGGTCTGTTTGGTGTTAACTATGATGGTCTGTCTGGAGGCTGGAAAAGCCCAAGAATTGAGGGTCTGACAGCTACCCAATTTCTTCTTGCTGCTGCATCCCAAGTAGATCGGCAGAGTAACAAGGGACTGAGCTTGCAGGCTCAAGCCCTTTTATATTAGCTTTGGTCCATTCAGAAGGCTATAACCCGGATCCCCCTTTAGGTCCTACCTCAAAGACTCAACAGGTGGGAGATCTATTCAAGCCATAGCACTCAAATTTCCTAGGCAATTAAGGAATCTTTCTAGGTTTCTCTATTATGCTGTTTACATGAATGGATTAATATCCCCTCAACTTTAAAATCTTCAAATCTCTTAGAGAAGGTGTAATATAACAAAACACACGAAACAGTATAGTGGAACACTTGTCATACAGATTTGATTAAGATTTTGTTACCTTGCACATCCCACACATGATGCTCAACCCTAAGTATTTCATCATGCATTTTGCATGATCCCCACAATTACCAAGATCAGGAAAATTATCATTGATACAACACTTTATCCATATTAAAACTCCCACCAAGCATGTAGCTCATACCTGAAATTCCAGCACGTATGAGGCTGGGGCTGGGGAATTCCCCAAGTTTGGAGCCAGCATTGACCACAGTTAGAACCTGTCTTGAAAACAATAAAGGCAATCCCTTTGATAGAGCATAGGCCCACATCAATCCCAAAGTAAACTCCATCTGAAGTTCTTTAAATTTTTGACTCAGAAGGTGGAGATTAGAAACAACGTAGTGGTCTGTAAGGTGGAAAACTGCAAAGTGGACTTCAGCCAGTCCTTGGGCACTGAACATTTTTGGAGATGTTTTGTTTTGTTTTTGGAGACAGTTTCTCTGTATAGCCCTAGCTGTCCTGGAACTAACTGTAGACCAGGCTGGCCTCGAACTTAAGAGATCCACCTGTCTCCGCCTCCTGAGTGCTGGGATCAAAGGCGTGCGCCACCAACTGCCCTGGGCCCACTGGACTTTTTATTTATTCATTAGAGACAGGGTGTCACATAACCCAGGCTGCCTTAAACTTACTCTGCAGCTTGGGCAGCCCTTGAACTCAAGATCCTCCTGCCTCATTCTTTGAAGAATAGAGAATTTAGGCCATGTATGATCCTACCCTCCCCTTGCCACCCAAGCACAACTTTTGGTTTCCTTGTTTGAGATAGGAATCTATGTTCCCCACCCTCGACTCTCATACAGTACCAGTGCAGCTGTGACTGGCTATAGACTAGCAGCTAAACTACAGGTATGCACCACCAAGCCAGTTTGGTGTTTTTTGGTTTTTTTTCCACCCCCACTGTGATACAGTTCAAATCCAGAGTTTTGCTCATGCAAGACAAGTGTTCTACAACTGAGGTATATCCCTATTATGGGACTCTAGTTGGGGCAGGAAAAAACAAAACAAAACAAAAAACCCAAACTTGTAACCCCAGGAAGGGTTGCAGATACAGCACATATAGCAGGTGGTAGAGTGCTTCCCAGCATCCTCACAGCCAAGGTAATAGGCATTCGTTTTATTAATATACTTAATGAATTGTTTACATTCAACGTCTGGCCATATGCCTGTGTTTTTTTCCATACTAGGCACCAGCTGGGTGTTCAATTCACACTACCCGGAGTTAGCACTAGATCCCACAAGAGCAGTCTCTAGGCCTAACCCCACTTTGGATGCCTAGTAAGAGTTCCAGGTTGAAACCTGTGCATCTGACAAACTGGGGATCCTTGCTGGGTTTGATAACTTGCTAGATGGCTCACAGAACTCAAGGAAACACTTTATCCACTCCAAAGGATGTTACAAAAGATACAGAATAACATCCTGATGAGGGATACATGGAATAAAGTCTCGGAGGGTCCTGAGCCCTGGACTTGTGTCTCTTCTTGTTCTTGCTATTGCATATGAAAGACCTACACATCTTTCAAATGTTTTGCTTGGCTTTCAACTACCTCTTCCCCCTGCTGCTGCAGCACACTGACCTTTTTTTAGCTCCTCAAATATATCGGGCCTCCACAGATAAATTTTTTCATCCTTCATACCTCATTTCAGAATTAAACTTGTCATACACTCTCATGATATTCGTGCAATTATTTTAACACACAAATATAAAAGCCAGCTGGGTTTAGAGGCTCACACCTGTAACCCCATCCATTCGGAAGGCTGAGACAGGATTATTGCCCGGATTTTGAGGCCAACACTAAAATCTTGCCTCAAATAAAACTATAAAAATTACGAACGGTTGCCAGGCAGCGGTGGCGCACGCCTTTACCCAGCAATCGGCTATGAGTTTAAGGTCAGCCTGGTCTACAGAACGAGTTCCAGGACAGCCAGGGCTACACAGAAACCCTGTCTCAAAAAAGAAAAGAAAAAAAGAGAAAAAGAAAAAATTATGAACTCACCTAGACTATGAGCTCCATTAGAGTTGCATTACTTACTCGGTTCACCTTTATTTCCAGAAAAACGAGATTTGGCACTTGCTCGGAGTTCAAATATTTGAATGCACACAAGGGAAGCGAAGGGAGACAATTGGAAAGCTTAACTCGTAACAGTTCTAATGTTTCCAACATTCTCCCCCACCTCCACGCTCAAAAGTTAACAAAACATGCATGCTCTCAGATACCTTGGGTCTCCAACCTCACGCAACCCTTTCAACCCCCAAAGTCCCAAATCCAAAGTGAACCCATAGTAGCTAGCACCGAAACGATAGGAAACCCTCCTTCACCCCTGCGCAGCCGATCGGTTCCAGCCTCGGCCAAGTTCCTAATCCCGACCTAGAGGCCGGGATTCTGAACTTTGGTTCGCGAAGCCACCATGCACACATGCACTTGGTCAGCGATAAAGGTGAAGCGCGTAGAGATGTGTCCTCCACGCTTTTCAAACGCCACTGACCGCACGCACGTACATACGTGTCGGACTGAGAAGCTAGACTCTGCGTCGCAGAGCTTCGGATGTCCATGCAGGTTAAGGGGGAAGAACGAAAGACAACGACCACTCTCTCGCGCCCCTTTAAGAGCCACCCCCATTCCAGGCCGTAGAAGCCGAGAAAATGCTCGCGAGAGCCCCCGGATTCGGCCCGCTTCCTCCTCCAGGCTAGCCGGTCCGGAAGGAAGGCGGTACCTCCCGCTTCCCGGCCTATACCTCACAAGGCAGCGCGGCCGCCGAGGCAGCCAATCAGCGAGCCTCTTGTAAGCAGAGGCGCGGCGAGCCAATGGGAAGTCGCGGCGCGCGCAGAGCCTCTCTCCGTCGCACCGGCCCCCTCCCTTCCGCCCGCCGCCTTCCACTCCGCCCCTGGCGGAGGAAGTGAGATCAGAGGCCCCATGTGAGCGGATTGCAACACATGCAGCTGCCTGGAGAGAGGGAGCCGGTGTCCTACGTCAGAGCCGCCGCCGCCGCGGAGCCGCCGCCGGGGA